GTAAATTACCTTTTAATGTGGTACCTGTCGTAAAGTCATTGTATTTTCTTCCTAATATACCGACATCACTAGGCGGTCGGTGGATGCAAAGATTTTCAAATGCTGCTGATGATAATGATATCAAGCGGTGGAGGGCGGTGGCCGCCGATTCGATGTGGGCCATTGGATTACGCTATTTTGAGAGATATGTATGTAACTCCGGGGATGACCGTTGGATCGTTCTAGTCGACCGTAAAGAGACGTGAGAGGGAATCCTAGCCGCTTATCCTTTTTTCTGTCTTTAATACGTGTGCCCTAGAGTCCAGGGAATACTAAAAGGAGTTGTAACCTATAGATATCTACATATAAAAATTAAAAACGTTTGACATTTATTAAAATTAGTAAGATTTTTTACATAAAAACACCCTACTTATTAAATAATGAAGGTTTTTAAAAAATTCTTTTTATTAATTTTTTTTTCTTAATTTTTTTCTATCATATGTGGTGCGATTTTATTTTTATTTATATTATGTAATATCGATAATTTATCTATATTTATATTTTTTTTTATTTACTGTAAAAAGTAATAGCTTTCTGAAAAAAAAAACTATATTAGTTACTAAATATTTAAATATACTTTTATTGTTTTTTTTTTCAATTTGTTTTGGTAAAAGTTTCTTTACTATTCACACATGATGAGATTTTTATTTTTATTTTAAGCAATATGATGCCAACAACTTATCTAAATCTATTGATTAATAAACTACCAATTATTTGATTTCTACCTATTCTACTTTACTTTTATTTCTAGTCATGTGATACCATAATTTGAGATTAGTAATTATTTCTAATGTGACAATTACTTCTAAAGTATTAATAAGTTTATGAATTAGTTAGTCTTGTCTATATAAGTTGAATTTAAAATAATTATTTCATACTTTTTAAAAATTGAAAAAATTAGTCTAAATTATTCATACAATAAAGTATAAATGTATGTATGATAAAATATATTTAGAATAAAATAATATAAAATAGTAATTAATATGTTTATTCCTCTTGAGTTAAAAAACTTAATTCTAAAAGAATATAAAACCGCAAGTAAACAATTATTTTGAGGATCAAGTGTATATGATACTAAATAATAAATCAAGGGACCGTTTGTTGAATTGTTATGTAAATTATTAAATTATAAGAATTTAAAATATTTATAATATGTATTGTTATAATGAGTCATCTGTAGAACTATTATTCAAATTATAGTTGACAAAGAAAAATCAAAATATTCATTATATATACTGTTACAACTTATGATGATAGACCAATGGGCATGTAAATTATTAACTTTGAAAGGAAAATAAACTAAAATATATAATGTATATTATTATAAATTGTAATGGTAAGCAAGCAAGTGGTTTTTTTAACAATAATATAAATTGTTACATTAGAAAAAAATATTGAATATCTATAATTCACAATATTATATAGTATAATGATAAATCAACTGGTGTCGAACTATCGTATAAATTATTAAACTAGAAAGAAAATTCAAAATTTTATAATATACATTATTATAAATTATAAAAAAACCTTAAAATAATTTTGACGTAATTAAAAATTACTAAATTTTGTAACTTTAAAATAATATAACTACACTATTTTGAAAATTTAAAAATTACGTCAATATAGTATTCAATTATTTAAAATTATTAGGTAAATTTTAGAAGTTAATTACTTATGCATAACGTAAAATTTCTAAATAACAAAATAAGTCAATTAATTATTTATTTTATATTCTAAATAAAAATTGGTAAATTTTATACAATTTTAAAATAATATAAACATATCATTAGCAAGCAGAAATAAATAAATATAATAATACTATTTATTTATGCATTTGTTCATCACTTGTACAGTGTACTAGTATTAATTAAAATTCATTGAATTTCTAGATGAAATTCTTATACCAAATATGTCATCCAAATTAAATGGTTTTTATTAGCTTGTACATTTTGAGTCAACATTCACTTTCACTAGT